AGAGGAGTTAGCACCCTTGGGCAGACACATGGTGCAGAGGAGAATGGTAAGTAAAGGAGGAGAATGAAGTGGAGAGAGAAGCAATAACAAAAAAATTTAGTAAAAGAAGAAAAAGAAAATTAATGATCCTGTGATAAACACAATTGAAGGCCATCAACTTGGGCCAGAGACAGCCACACACAAAATTTCATTTTTGCAAACTAGGTTCCTGGGGATGCTGATTACTGCAGAAAACTGCCAAATGACTACATGCAAATCATGTATCTAATTTTTAACTTTTGGCATTTTACACTAATCAAAGTAGAATCAGAGCAACTCAATATATGAGGCCAATATTATCCTCATTCGAAAGTCCAACAAACACATCATAAGAAAAGAAATATACAGACCAATATTCCTAATGAATATAGATGCAAAAATCCTCAACTCAAAATACTAGCAAACAAAATCCAGAAAAGTATGAAATGGATTATACATCATGACCAATGGTAATTTATCCCAGAAATGCAAGGTTGGTTTAACATATGAAAATCAATCAATAAAATTCATATGATTATCTCAGTAGCTGAAGAAAAAGTATTTGACAAAACCCAGTACACTTTTTTTAAATCCTCACCTGAAGACATTTTTCAATTGATTTTTAGAGAGAGTGGAAGGGAGTAGGTGCGGAGAGAGAAACATCAATGTGAGAGAGACCCATCAATTGGTTGCCTAACTCAGGAGATTTGACCTGGCCTGGAGATCAGGGGTGAGGATTGAACCTGCAACTGAGCTTTGTGCCCTTGACTGGCATCAAATCTGGGACCCTTTTGTGTGCGGGCAGAGTCTCTATCTACTGAGCTAAACCAGCTAGGGCAAATAGAAACATTGATGATAGAGAAACATCAATTGGCTGCCTACTGCATGCCCTCCACTGGGGATCAAGCCTGCGACCTGGGTATATGCCTTGACTGGGAATAGAACCAGCAACCCCTTTGTGTATGGGACAATGCTCAATCTACTGAGCCATGCAGGCCAGACACTTTCATTATGAATACACATAACACATTAGGAATGGATAGAAGGGAACATTCTCAATGTAATGAAAACCATCTATGTGAAAAAACATAGATGGTGAAAAACTGGGTGCTTTACCCCCCTAAGATCAAGGATAAAATAAGAATGTGTGCTTTCACAAGTTATATTCAATATTGCCCTGGAGGTTCTAGCCAGGGTAATTAGACAAGGAAAATAAACAAAAGAAACAAAAATTGGAAAGGAAGAAGTACAATTGTATCTATTCTCAGATGACATGATCTTGTATATAGAAAATCTTAAGTAATCCACTAAAAATCATTAAAATTAATAAATGAGTTCAGCTAGGTTGCAAGATACAAGGTCAAAATAGAAAAATCATTTGTATTTCTATACATTGAAAATGATATCCAAAAATAAAATTATGAAAACAATTCCATTTATAATATTATCAAAAAAATAAAAATAATCAAGAATATATTTTACAAAGCCACTAAGACTTGTATACTGATAACTATAAAATATCATCAAAATAAAATAAAGATGACCTAACTCGATGGAACATTATCTCATGTTCATGAACTGGAAAACTTAATATTGCTAAAGTAGCAATACTATCCAAACTAATCATTGGTTCAACACAATCTCTATCAAAATCCTAACTGGCTTTTGTGCAGAAATTGACAAGCTGAAACTCAAGTTCACATAGAAATGCAAAATTTGCCAAAATAGTCCTCGTGACCTTGGATTTGGCAATATATGCTTTTGACACCAAAAGCACAAGCAACAAAAGAAAAAAATGAAACTGGATTTCATCAAAATTAAATAATTTTGTACTTCAACGGATATCATCAAAGAAGTGAAAATAAAAACAAAACAACAAGAAAGCCCACTGCATGGGAGAACATATTTGCCAATGTTATCTCTGATAAGGGTTTAATCCCCAACATTTAAAGGGAACTCATGCAACTTAACAAAAGGAAGATAATCCAATCAAAAAATGGGCAAAGGACATAAATAGACACTTTTCGAAAGAGGACATTCAGAAAGCCAAGAGACACATGAAAACATGCTCAAAGTCACTAATCATCCAAGAGATGCAAATCAAAACAACAATGAGGCACCATCTCCCACCTGTAAGACTGCCAAGATTTGGAAACAGCCTAAATGCCCATCAACAGATGAGTGGATTAGAAAACTATGGTACATCTATACAATGAAATACTACACTGCTATAAAAAAGAAGAAATTCTTACCATTTGCAGCAGCATTGATGGAACTGGAGAGCATAATGCTAAGTGAAATAAGCCAGGCAGTGAAAGAAAAATACCACATGATCTCACTCATCTATGGATAATGAACAAAAAGATAGATATAGAGGCAGAGAAGCATCGAACAGACTGTCAAATTATGGGGGGAAGGCTGGGACGGGGGGCGGGTAAGAGATTAACTGAAGGACTTGTATGCATGCATATAAGCATAACCAATGGACACAAGATACTGGGGGGTGGTAGAGGCTAGGGGAATGTCAAGGGGAAATAAAAGGAGACACATGTACTACTCTTTGTAATACTTTAAGCAAGAAAAGAAAAAAAAGTGAAAATACAAACCACAGAATGGGGAAAATATTTGCATATTATATATCTGAAAAAGGTCTAGTATCCAGAATACATAAAGAACTCTTACAACTCAACAAAAGAAAGCAAATAACCCAGTTAAAAAAATAGCCAAATAATTTGAATAGACATTTCTCTAAAAAAGATAAGGAAATGGCCAATAAGTAAATACAAAGATGTTCAACATCATCAATAATAAGGAAAATGCAAATTAAAGTCACAATGAGCTACTAATTCACACTCATTAGGAAAGATATAATTTAAAAAATGGAAAGTGAGTATTGGTGAAGATTTGGGGAAATTGGAACATTGGTACATTGTTGTTGGGTATGTAAAATGATGCAGTTACTTTGAAAAATAGCCTGGCAGTTCCTCAAAGTCTTAACCATTTAACCCAGCAATTCTGCACCTAGATACATACTCAAAAAATTGAAAGTATATATGCCCCTGGCCACATACCTCGGTGGGTTAGTGCATCATCCTGATACACCAAGTTTGCGGGTTTGATCCCTGGTCAGAACACATACAAGAATCAACCAAGGAATGAATAAATGAGTGGAACAACAAATTGATGTCTCTCTCTCTCCCTCAAGTCAATTTTTCAAACTATATATGCATACAAAAATGAAAATGTGTACACAAATATTCATAGCAGTATTATTAATAATAGTGTAAATGTGGAAAACCCCATCTATCTACTGACGAGTAGACAAATAAAATGTGTTATAGCCATACAGTGAAATATTAGTCAGCCATGAAAAGCAAAAGTACTGGTACATGCTACAATGTGTATGAACTTTGAAAACATTATGCTAAGTAAAAGAAGCCAAACACAAAAAGCCACATATTATATGATTCCATTTATATGAAATGTCCAGAATAAGCAAATCTATATAGACAGTGGTTGCTGGGGGTTAGGCACAGGGGGGAATTGAGAGTGACTGCTAATGGGTAGGAGATTTCTTTTGGGGTCATAAAAATATTCTGAAATTGAATAGTGGTGATGATTGTACAACCTTGTGAATATACTGAAAATCATTAATTATACACTCTAAAAAGAAAAATTTTATGGTATGTGAATTATATATCAACTAGAGGCCAGGTGTATGAAATTTGTACACAGGTGGGGTCCCTCTGCCTGGCCAGCAATTGGGGCCGATCAGGGCCATCTTGCCCAGTCCCAGTCGGGACTGATTAGGGCAGTTGGCTGGAAGGGACCACGGGAGGGACCGAGGGAGCGGTCCAGGGCGTGTCTGGCTCCGCCTTGCGATCGGATGGACCCCAGCAGCAAGCTAACCTACCTGTCGGAGCATCTGCCCCCTGGTGGTCAGTGCACATCATAGCGACCAGTTGGTTGACCTCTCAATCGGACACTTAGCATATTAGGCTTTTATATATATAGATTGTAACTCATGGTGCGGAATTCTCGGCACACACTTTCCCTCCAGCCCCTGGTCTTGGAGACCTCATGTCCTTCCAAGGCTCTGCTCACCCTCTTCAGCTGCCACATGAAGTAAATTGCATCGTGTGCGTGAAAACCCTTTGCAGGCTCCATGGGTGTGTCTTTACTTCACTGCAGTTCCAATTACCCCAACATAAGGAGAGACATCCTCATTATCAGGTAACACCATTGTGGTAAGTCCCCTGCTCAGCCTACTGCAGCGGTTTTAAATAGGCCATGGGCCACCCTAGATATTTCCCTTCTTATTCTCTTCCATCATGGTAAGTTAGAAAAATATTTTTAAGTCTTCCAATTAGAGCCCAATCTATTCCTTATTCACAATAGTAAATCTAAGCCATTCTCATTGAGAGCTGGCAATCATAGAAGAGTCAAGAGCTATTTGTGTCACTCCTTCTAATACTTAACAGTTACTGCCAAAGTAACAATGTCTGTAACATGCCAATAACAATTCCCAATATTCAACCTGGGTTCCTAATGCATGATGAAAACCAAATTAACCTTTGTTCTATCCTCAGTGGAGAATAAGAAGAGATACTGTTGATTTGTCTTTGAAAAAAGTGCCTAGAACGATATATTAATAGGAAGTAGGATTTATTCAGAGGATGACAGATCATCAGTCTCCAAGCATTTGAAATCCCACTGTAGATAGGGTTGCCCCAAACTGGTAATAAGACTCTGGGTAAAATTATACAAAGGGTGTGGAGAGACATAGTCAAGGAAGTGGAATTTATGTCCACTCCTTGTGAGTTAGCAAGGCCAGAAAATCTGGCCAAGCCACCACATCTCACAAGCTATCACAGTGAGAGAGACTCAGGCAAGCACCACCAGCAAGCAGAGGCCCATTCAAGATGTAAAGCACTTTGAAAAACAGATGAACCACCATTGCCATCCTGCCCAGGCCACCTTACCTAACTGAAATTGATTGGAGATATTCCCACATGTTTGCATTACTTCCGGGCTATTCCATCCTAAGGGGTATAATGCACAGCCTGAGCTTATCAGCAGCCCTAGAAAGAAAAACATACACACAGGTAGAAAAAATAAAATAGGTCTTCTGTCACTCCAATATTCCCTCTAGATTTTCTCAGCTCAAATTCTGCATTTTCCACTCAGAGTTTACCTCTCCCCTTTTACTCTAAATGTCTATAACACTACCCAAATCAAAAGGGTATCTTTGCCATGCCATAAGTGGCGAGTTGTAGAGGGGACAACTTATAAAAGGCAGTATTGGGAATTGAGACAAGGCAATGTAATTTTTACAGCCTAAATATTTGTGACAATGATTTACAAAGCAAAGTTGGCCTCTCCAACCAGAATCCTCTTCTATCTTGGTCTGATTTACAAAGAGGCACAATATAGAGACTAATACTGTTTCCTAAAAATTCAGCCTTTTCTAACAATCAATTAGGTCCCTAGGAGTTGAAGGTAGGTCATGATTTCTGTAACTTGGAACCAGCTGCCAGACTAGATCTACACAAAGCATGCATGTTGCATAGGCTTCTCCTGGTGAGCAGGCACCACACTCCCTCATCCAGAAACGATTACTTCATCTGAGAAATCATTCCAAATTCATGCTAAACATGCCTCCTTTCTTTTAAAAAAAAATATTTTATTTGCATTCAGACAAGTCCTTTGGTTGATCTCTTACCCTCACCCCCAGCCCTCCCATACCTTCCCACTGAAGTTTGACAGTCTGTTTGATGCTTCTTTGTGACTGTATCTATTTTTGTTCATCAATTCATAATGTTCATTATATTCCACAAATGAGTGAGATCATGTGATATTTATCTTTCTCTGACTGGCTTGTATGCATGCATATACTATAAGGATAACGAATGGACACAGACACTAGGGTGTGAGGGCCTGTGTTGGGCAGTGGGTGTGGCTGGGGGGGAGGTCAATGGGGGAAAAGGGAGACATATGTAATACTATATGTAATATTTTAAACAATAAAATAAAACTTAAAAAATAAAAAATATAAAGTCAAATCTAAAACTGAAAAAAAACCTCCTCATGGTCAGTATATTAATGTGTGAGTATTAAACATTGAGCTTAACTGTTTATAAAAACTT